CTTTTCCTTTGGGTAGATACCCAGTAGTGGGATTGCTAGATTGAATGGTAGGTCTACTTTTAATAGTTCTTTGAGAAATCTCCATATTGATCTCCATAGCAGTTGTATTAATTTATATTCCCACCAATAGTGTATTAAGTGTTCCTGTTTCACTGCATGCACACTAACACCTATTGTTTTTTGACTTTTTAATAATGACCATTCTGACAGGGGTAAGGTGGTATCTCATTGTGGTTTTAATTTGTATTTCCCTGATGATTGGTGATGTTGAGCATTTTTTCATATTTTTTGGCCATTTGTCTATCTTCTTTTGAAGTGTCTGTTCCTGTCTTTTGCCCACTTTTTAATGGGATAATTTTTTTTTCTTGCTGACAATTTTTTTTTCTTGGTAGGGATTTGTCATATAAAAGAATTCTGCCATTCACTGGTCTATATCTGGCTCAGCAGTCTGCTAGTCCTGGGCCCCTCAGTGCTGCGCAGGGTTGCTGAGGCCCGGGGGTGTGACTTAGGCATAGGTAGACCAGGAGGGAGGGGGCAAAGAGAGGAAGAAGGCAAGAGGTTAGTATTACTCATCATCCACGTTTAGAACCAGCAAGTTGATACATAACCAAGCCGAGCTGTCTTATTTTATATACATAGTTGAGCCAGTGGAAGTCCAGAGAGTTAAACTCATTTATCTGAGACTATACAATGGTATAGTATATACACATGTTCTGCTGGTTCCTGGTCCAGTGTCCTTTCCACCGGGGGCCTAGTTTGTTGGAAAGTACGTGAGAGCATACACTGGAAGAAACCAGGGAGGACGGAAGAGGAGACGAGTAGATGAGCTGGCAGCTTAAACAAATGGAAAGCGGCCACAAAAGTGAGCAGGGCTTTGGTGATGTCTGTGCTAAGGGCCTCCTGTCTCCAATCTACACATAACTAGTTTACTTATAGAACTGGAAGTTCATCATTCTCTACCCTCTTCTTATCTCTCAGATTTCTGCCCAGGAAAGTAGGAGAAAGAAGAAAGAATACATGGACAGCTTGGAGAAAAAGTAAGTCTGCTGACTAACTGTTGGATTTAATGGGGCGATGTGCACAGAGAAATGTGAGTGTGCTGAGAATCGGTGAGAAGCAGTTGAGTTCCTCTTTCTGGCCACCTTAGAAGCCGGGTGGCGCATCAACCATATTTTGCCTGCCACCTAGTGGGTATTTGGAGGGGAAGTTAATAAGCACAGCAAGAAGTAAAAAGTACACTCAATCTTATTAGGCATTTGAACCACACTCTTTCCAGGCAAGGATCCCCGGGTCTTTGGAAGCTTCCTTTCAGACAAGTACAAATATTAACATTCCTGCACATTCCTGGAACTTCTCAGAGGAGAAGCACTGTTTTGGTGGAAAGGGGCTGTGCTGCTTAACCAATCCCTGCTGGCCACGCTCCCTTGCTCCCTAGAGAGGGCACACAGGGAACGCAGTAAGTCAGGTTGACGTTCTTTATTTTCCGTCCACTATAATTCATGCTATAGGTGAATGACTTTTTGCAAAAATACTTGAAGTCACCCTTCATTCTTCTGAAAAGCCTGGAATATCGGAGGGCTGTTAGAAAAATATGAATTAAATACAGTTTTAGATTAGCTCTAGAAGATAATTCTCCAGCTGACAAATTA